AAATATAGATATATTAATTTGTTGAACATATGAACGAAAATCCACGGAACTCAATCTTGTCTTTCACTATTTTTTTAATGTGTGTTTTATGTACATATGTATGTATGTATGTAGATATGTACCTTGTAGAAAATCTGACTAGCTCAGAACACGCATAGAACTAGACCTTTTGCGAAAATGACTAGTTCTAGCTTTATACCCAAGCAAAGTTTTCAACTGTCCAGTTTTACACGGCGATGTCATTGGCGGTGACAATTGTCGTCCAGTGTATTACTTTGCAACTAGGTTTTAACCAGTTCCGTTTTTGGCAGAGAAACCGTTTTTTAGATTTGGTTTTTGGATATTTTTTTAGTTTTCTGCTTTTCTGTTACAGATTCCATTTTTGTTACATGCTTTATAAAAAATATTGTAAGCTGCTCGCAACAGTTTAAATTCAATTCGATAATTCACAACTACCTTCACCGCGATTAATGAGCTGACTCCTTAAAGTGAGTTGGAGTCATTGAGTCAACTCATATAAATTTGCTGAGTTACCCACCCTTAAGAGATAGTTCTAAAGCTCGTCGGCGATTTCAAGCATCCGTTGTTGGTTACCCCAGCAACCGAGGCAATCGGAGATCGTCGTGTCACACGTACTTGTTGTCGGCTCGTGTTGATGGAAAATCAAAAATTTTTGATTTTCCATCAACGCGACCGCTTGACAAGCGGTCTGTTTGATAGTGGCGCAAAGCGTTGACAAGCATTAGTGTGTTAGTTTGTTGTGATATGTAAAATGAGCAAGTTCGCGGAAGATAAAGATTTTAGTGGCAAGTAGCAAAAAATCGTCATACGATGAAGACATGTTTACGTCCGCCCACTACGAAATTTTATTGCAAATGGTGTTGACGCTTTATGCTTGAGTGTCGCCGGGCAAGCTTCAAGCACCCGACATTCAACCCGACACTCACACATGTACTCGTTGCTGGGGTAACCAACAACGGATGCTTGAAATCGGCGACGAGCTTTATATACATATGTATGTAGTTCGGAACTAGGGTTTTGTCAGACTGTCTCTAAATTTTGCTGCAGGGTGTATACTCCTGGACAGCGTTGCCACTAGCAATTTTTTTGCCTACCTATTTTCTTCCCAAATCCGACCAAAATCGTTTGCAACCTACCAAATAAATTTAAAATACAAAAAAGCATTCTGAAAGCATACAATTTATTTATTTAAGATTAAAGCATAGTATTCTGTTCCTGTTTCACGTGAAAAAGCTGTCAAATTGCATATAGAATTTTATTCTGTGAAATAAGTGTGAAATTCCACAACGTTTACTCAGCAAAGTCTGTTCAAGCTGTGAAAAAGCTTGCAACATGATGCTAGCAAAATAATTTTCATGAAATTTTTAAATACACATGTACATTTTAAATTGTGTGAAAACTGACAGTTTATCGAATTCAGTAGCGGTGCAAACAAAGGGGGGTTCAGTGGCTAAACCGTACCCAATCCGATCGTAAAACCAAAGAACGTTGATAACAAGAAGGGACAACTCGTATTAATTGTAGCGAAAGCAATGCGCAACAGGGGCGTTTCTTCTCTTTTGCCCTAGTACATTTTTAGATTGGATGAAAAGAGAAGGCACTCCCCTGTTGCGCACTTTCGCTGCAATTATAACGAGTTGTTCTTTTTTGTAATCAATGTTCTTTGATTTTGTCTCATTTATCAAAAATTCATCAACGTACATGGCTTGGCTGCAATTATCCGCCGATGAGCACAGTGCAAGCATCAACACAAAATGAGGTTGTTGTTTTTGTTTCGAATGCAATGCTCACAAGCCACGCCACAAACGACGAGCATACTCGGTGAAAATCAAATATTTTTTTTGTTGCGAGCATGCTCGTGAGCCGCCCTACAATCGACGAATATGCACTGCAAGCCTAGCATGCTCGCGCACATGTTCGTAGCAATGTAACACCGACCTTAGCACAGTAATCGAAAAAGTCGATGAATCTCTACCTAATTGGTTTTCCATGTGCTAATCTCTAAATGTTTTTATTGATACTTTATTAAATATCATTGCGAAACTTATAAACACATACATTCCTAGTTTTTCATCTTATTTAACATTATTTTATCCGGCTATGGAATCGTTGCGAAACATGTGTCGAGTTTGTTTGAGAGTGGAGGACTCAGTGCCGCTATTAAATTGGAATCTTCCTGTAGAAGATATAAATGAGAAGTTGTCGTATGCAGAATGCTTCCAGCTCTGTACCCAGTTGAATTTACTTTTAAACAAGGAATTTGAAATGAATGGTCCGTCCTTGAGAATATATGAACATTTTTGTTATAGCTGTGCTGCAAAACTCAAAGAAGCATATGAGTTTATAAGAAAGGCTCAAGAGGCTGATACTACACTGCGTATGAATTACTGGAAAGTAGATTCCGGAGATGATAAAAAGTTATTTGAATGGGTAGGAGTTGGAAAAGACTCTCTGTCAATCGATATTAAGGTAAATATATACATATACTTTATGCATTACTCCATAATTTAAAAATAATTATGTGCAATTATATATGCCTTTTAGGAAAGAGAAAGTGATGAAGAACCACTTACTCTTGAAAGTAACACTCACATGGATGAAAACTCAACCCCGCAGGATTTTATTATGAAAGCCAGCGAAGAAAGTTCAATAAAATCCGAAATTTTAAAGTCGTCGAAACCAACCACAAGAAAAAAATCGAAAAA